CTTCTCTTCTCTGGAGAGTGTTCTCAGTGTATTTTCCATTGAGAATCCACAACGAGGCTGGTGATGAAGATGCATCCTTTATAGGTTACATGGAGAACCAACTTAGAAAGGAGAAGGCAGTTCAAGAGGAACGAATGGTTCTGGTCAATTTGACTTTGATTGAGGGCCCATTTACATGCTTGCGCTGTGTTAATACAAGTGGTAAAACCCAACATGGCTTACAGCAGTGCCATTTATTTTGAACTGCACCCCTATGCACTAAGGCACACACAGCAGTGCGTTACAAACAAGGGTCAAGTACAATTTTTACCATAATAGGGTACATTGGCAGACCATTCATTTTTAATTGGCTGTCTTAAACCAACGCACTATAAAGCACAACATAACATGCATTAACATAAAACAAAAAAGGAAACAGACCCTTAACCCTTTGCTGCCAAGACCTTTTTTTGCATGCATGTCAATCCACATTTTAGGCCTAAAAATTACTTAAAACCCCCAAACATTATATATTTTGTGAAAGCACAGGCCCTCTAGAATAAAATGGTGAAGAATTGTTAAATTGTACGATATTAGCACAACTCTTTATCAAACCCAAAACATTTTTTTTAAAGATAATTTTAGAGCCCAAAAACGCTCTATAATACCAATGTTTTTATTGCAATATATAAAACATGAGGTTAGGACAAGTAAATACCCAGGTTAAAAGAGCGCCCATGAAACTGCAACAAAATATGTTACCCCAAATCGTCCATAGGCATAGCTTTAAAAGCCCATACCGCTCATCAGTTTAGAGAGATCTGTGAATATTGGCCTTAGAATTATTTCTCTCATTATGGCGCACACGGCCACACCTCACATATCTAGCGCGATTGCCGTTTTCGCACGTAGGTGCACCCAACATTTATGTTAATATGTACACGCTCGAGGGGCAGGGGACTTTTAATTTTTTACAATTATCTTTACATTTATTTGATCTTATTTTTAAAAAATTGGTTTACTTTACTTTATTTGCTATCACATAAGCGGGCTTACAAGTCCCCTATGTAATAACACATTGTAGGTGAGCGGTACACTTTAAGGTGACACTAGGAGTCTAAAACACCACTAGTGTCACCTTTCCACTCCTAATGAGCTTTTGGGGAGCAGATCACGCTCCAATAGCTTATTGCTCGGCTTCTGGGGCCGAGCAATTACAGCTAAGCCATGCAATCAAGAGTCACTTCCGGTTCCTTAGAGCAGGGAGGAGAT